GGGCGTTAGACTTTCGACAATCCGCAATTCTTTTAAATACGGCAGTCTTTAAAAACGTTTTTATTTTTAATTTTAAATTATGATATCCTTCGCATTTCCTAATGTGTCTCCCTAAAATGGGTCATATCTAAATTTGGTTTTTTATCATATATTATGCCTATGACGTGTTTGAAATATCGAAGAGGTTAAAGTTCGTGGGACCATAAAAACATTCTCATCGATTAAAGTAATTCAAGTACTTCTTTTTATTGGAAGGGATCATTTTCTTGGTTTTGATCTTCCTGGTTCTTGATATTTATCTTATTTTATGAAATATCGTAAATGGTAAATAAAATGGTTCAGGACAGGACCAAGTAATTCTTTCCGTGCTTTCTGTATGTATAGACGTTATACGTTAGTTAAACCTTAGTGATATAGACCGCGGAAATATTATTATAATTAAATAGATTTTTCATAGGATGAACAGAATGGAGGTAATTAGATAAAAAACTTTATAAAATTTGTTACTAGTTTGACGATTTTTCCCTTGCACACGCCTCCTCTCGTGTCTGGAAAGATAAAGTGAACAGCGTTATACATAAATTATTATTTTTATATGTTTACTTATTTTATCCTTTAACCTTTGTAGAAAAATGAACGATAATTTTTCGCCGCTGTAAGGATTTGAACCTGCATCGGGTAGGTAGCCACTGAGCTAAACGGCATTATTTTTTTATGTAATAAAATGGCAATGTTCGTACCACGATCATTTACACACTTATTTTTTTACTTTATTTTTCGATTCCAGATCATTGCTTTCTTTATTTTTTATATTTCATCGATTTGTTGTTTTTATCCCTTTTTTTTAAAGTACTTTCTTTTAGGAATAACACCAGTTCATATTTTCTTATTATTACGTCGGTAAGATCGATAAATATTATGCATATTTTATTACTCAGTAATTTGTATCTAAATGTAATTTCCAAAATACCCGATTTACCAAAAAAACAAAAACAAACCGAGCAAAGCTCGGTCCTCCAGGTATTTATATATATTATACATATATTAATTAACTTTAAAATACCGTATGATATTATGGTATCGAAGTAACTAAAATAAACAATTCTTGGCGTTTTTACATCCGTCGGACATCTTATTTTTCTTATAGTATATGCTGCAGAACTTAGTCTACTATAAATAATATATGGGGGTCCTATTGCTTTGCATCAAGAGTTAAAACAATCTTATTCACAAGAACGAACTCCTCCCCATTTACAAGTGCATTGGTACTACCCAAGTGGTGTTAAAAATATTATACGTTTACTTTTATTGCCTTTTAGTAGTTAATTGATAGCATTAAACCAATAAACTATTTCTGACATAGCATTAATTACTTCGTCAAGTGTTACAAGGTATCGCTCGATTTAAAAAAATAATTAAGTATCATCGGCAAACAACATTACATCATATTTATTCCCTACTAAGCACGGTAAATCATTAATATAAATGACAAAAGTCATGAGTAGAGAATCAAGCTCTTTTTTGTTTACGTAGGGGAAATGCCTACGCATACTCGCCCTCGCAGGGGCAAGAGCGGGTTATGTCGGACTCGCACCGACTAAAACCCCCGCGATGTTCCACCTAGGTGCATAGCGGCAGGGTCACAGGAACGCTTTCGCACACTCCTGCGACCCTCCCAGCGCTGGCCGCCTCAGCAGCCCACTCCCGAGGAACAAATCTCCTCTCCTCTAGATAAGGCGCGCTTGAACATTCAGCGCACCTTCCTACATAGCCTCATTTTTACGGCCAACGAACTCCCCTGAATTCGCTGTCCAGGGCCATGGACGCCAGGAGAGCCAGTGCTAATAAGCAGCAAGCCTCCCAGCCCCGAGCGGCGGACCTGGTCTGTGGCTCCACCGCTCACCACGTTTCGAGCGCGGAGGGAAGGGAGAACAGCGCATCGCAATACCGACACTCTTCCCGCGGCTCGACCACCACTGCAACAGTGGTGCAGCCGCGCCGAGTCGCGGAGGATAGGGATAGCGGCCAAACGCAAAACCGGCACTCCTCTTCCCCCGCGACTCCTCTTCGGTAGCAGAAGATAGGGAGAGTGACTCCTCCTTCACCACCTTGAACCTGTCCCTATACCCTCAAGCGCGCAAGCGGCCCTCTCGGGCTGGCCTTACTCCGCAGGCCGGCCCCGTGTGGGTTCCTCTTAGCTTCGCCGTGGGTGCCCAAGCAAGGAGCTACTAAGCCCCTCCACCCCGTCAAGGCGGGAACCCGGTCAAAGGGGAGAGAATCAAGCACTTCGGAACGCCCATTGATACAATTGACCCAGAAGAATTAGCACCATTGATTACAACTTTTTTGAATTCTTTTACATAAATATGACTTATTGAGGTCAAGTGCGGTACTTTTAAGGCCATGGTCACCTACAAATGTGTTGTGACCTTTCAATAAATTGGGCTCCGATCACTCACCCACCAGACGAAACGCAGAAGTATAATATTTACATTTCTCGCTGGTCTATTGTGAAGTCGTAGTACTTCCCCGTACGGATTGGCCCATTCGCGCAACAGCGCAGACTGCTGCGTAGCCCTATCACACTAAAATAAGGATATCTTCTCATAGACGAAAACCTTAACGCCGTACTCTATAAGCAAGCAACTACAGAAATTCCTCTTTCTGAGTATTTGACCAAAGTAATATTCACTCCAGAAGACAATAATAGGCTAGGTAGATAGGATACCAACACGTGTGAACGTTTGTTGCGTCGGCCGTTAAATAATGCGAATAATGATGCGAATTTCGTGAGACCAACGGTTTATCTTTCCGAACCAGCACATCAACGCCTAATCGCAGAGAAAAATGCGTCTGTAAGAGTTTATCTATCATTTCATCTATCAGGTCCTAGGTGTACATTTTCAAATATTAGAAATAAACTTGAACTCGGCCTTATATAAAAATTACATATCTAATATATTTATTATATAAGACAGTTCGATTCCAAATGACCACTCATACGGCTACTAAGAAAGCTAGCGCAAATAACTTTTTGTGCATAGAGAGGCAGGCCAAAATATCTTGGAGTCATGTTTGACACTAACATAACGTTTTAAACGTAAAAGCTTTAGAAATAAGTTGTGTTCGAGCCAATTTTATAACTTCGCGTATATTTCGAGCAAAATACCTTTAAGAGGACAAGGTGCTCATTGTCCTACAATACGTCAATAAGAGTTACGTCAATGAAGTAACTCTTTCTGACCTTCCTGGATACAATACCACCCGGATTTCAGCCGACACACGTAACGTATTCAATACTGATCCCAATAACGAATACCGAGGAGTTGCGTTCGTGTACTAGGCATCAACATAGGCCAAGATGCCTAGTCGATAACTCCAATATGTCAACGTGTGTGCGTATTACATGCGTTGCTCCACAAGTGGGGTCTATGGTCGATGCTTTAAACTTGATATTCATCCATGAAAGTCATAAAATTAAAGTACATTGTATGAACATAACATAAAATTGGTAGGTACCTTACATATCTAAATCGTGTTTAAACAATGATTACTTCATATTTATTTGAATCAAAATTCATAAAATATTTTTATTAAACTTGTAAAAAAATAAAAATATTTTAAGTCATAATAAAGTGAATGGAATCATTAAAAAATTCATTTAATTAAATTTTAACTCTCAACGTTATTATGGTCCCTAGTCACTTTTTGGGCTTTTACACGTTTTAGAAAAGAATATTTTAATTAGCTTTGGCTTTATTTCTCGTTTTTTTATGTGTAACAACACGTCTTATGGTATATGAAACAAGAAAGAATATTCAAAAAAGTTTTTACGTGGATGAGTGATCTCTATGAACGTCGGGGGCATCTTAGAGAAGAGTGAATAGACTCTCACTGAGCTAGTACGCATCTAGGAAGGGCTTCATCGCCACTTTACACCTAGTTGGATTGTAGTCAAGTTCATGCTTTTTTGTCTGTACCAGTTTTTACTTGGAACAGCTTAAAAATGATTTTCAAAAGTAATTTAAACTTTCGTCCAAACTTTAAAGCGAATAATTCCCGTTTTTTTCTCGTATCTGAAGAGTTTCATTGGATAACTGAACGTTATCAACGCAGAACAGAAAAGCTGAAGTTTTATTCAAATGTTAGTTTAAATTTTTAAATCAAGGACTTATTGAAAGTTATTCTACAAGACTGCAAAGGTAACAATCAAATGATCGTCTTTTGAAACGGAAATATAATTGCGTAGGAATTCGGTAATACTAGCATTTTTATAAAAAAGAGTTTTCAGTAAGAAACCATCTTTTTTTAAAAGTACTGAAGTAGCCAAGAGATTATGTAGGCCTTAGTTTATTAAAAACTTGAGCCACATTATATGAATTCGTAAAATATTTTTAGACTAAAATCGGTAAGGTGTTGTATGGTTTGGTATCTTAGCATTCTTATTTTAAGGTTGCTCATCTGAATGAGGCGGCCAGCGAAAGTTAATTAAATAATAAAAATTTGTCTTAATTGAATACGGAGGTCTTGCTTACAATCACGGATGTAATAACGAATAAGGGGATGAAAATATTAATAGTTTGCGTTACTAGAAGCATTGTACAAAAACAGCCATAAAAAAGGAGGCTATTTTATTTAGATAATGGAGTTTCATTTTTGACTTTTGGTTGACGAGATAACTTTATTGAAACAATAATAACCATTATTATATGTTACTATCTTGATTTGAATACTAAGTGATCTCAGTTGAAATTAAATCGTTTAATAATTGTATGTATCAAGGGTTCGTGTGCGGTGCTGTAGGCTAGAATGAACTATTAAATCACCCGGAGGCCCACAGAAAGCATCCAACGGTCATGGACCAAAATCGAATGTCTCGGGGCGATGCGCGCGCATCGCCCCCTCCCGTCCCCCCGCGCCGCACCCCACCGTACTCCCATTGATGGTCTTTCCAATCTCGATACATACGGATCCGGTGACGTTTTGCGTGGCCCTGATTAGTGTCGCATACGATCGGGCGGCCGTTGCAATTCCAGATTAGCTCGTCCGTTTCTGTCGTCCGACGCGCGGTGAACGGTGGGCGCTGTCCGCGGTGCGGTGTGGGCTTGGGCGTCACTGCGTCTCGGCTCCGGCCGGCGCGCAACGGCCGCCCCTGTGCGCACTCGGCGCCGCCACGCACGCTCGGCCGCGACCCAGTCCGCGCTGACGTTTAGAGCTGAGCTAGTGTCGCCGCCGCTCCGCCGCCGCATATCCCATTTTGGCCCAACGGTGACGCTCAGCGCCAGGTAGGACGGTATCCCGGTCGCGCGTGTCCAGGGCCACCGCAGCGGCGAGCCCTTCGTGCAGCCGCCGGCGGTGTTTACACGCCGCCCCTGCACCGCACCGCCCGCGTGCCCGCTGCATACACCCCTCATATACTATTCGAGGCTGTGAATTTTTTAAACTTAACCGACGGCTGCTCGCAGAGGTATTTCAATGCTTATCAATATCGAATAGCCACAGAGAGCACCGTCGTACCACATTAAATAGTGTCACGAACCGTTCAGAGCATACGCATCGATACCGACTTGTCATAGTCCATTCGAGTGATCTCACAAATCTATAACTATGGGCGCTAAAGAGAGCGTGGAGGCTGCTAAATTCTCTTCGCAAAATTGGAACAATTTCGAGGTTCGTAATACCTTTAAATTAATTTGCACATGGAGTGTTTGTATCCCCTCCCACCTCGTGTTTGTCTATAATCTAGGTATTTTTGCGTTACTTACAACTAACTTTTAAGATTTTCAATCCTAATTAAGCACAGTAAAGCGATTTACTTATGCATGTTCACGTTTTTAACTAAATTCTAAAAATTTGAAGTACAGGCTAATAAAAATGTTTAAAAATGTTACGACTATTTATAAGTTATTTTATTTTTATATTAGTTTTTGTTTGATAATTGTTTTTAGAACGAAACTTGTTTATATAACTCTAAGCTGACTTTTGAAGTTTTAATAAAAATGAAGTAAATAATACACCCGTATCCTGAGCTTAATACACCTACAATAATTATGGATGAATAGAAGTAGAGTAAAATATAGATATTCTATAACTTCTTTTACCGATTACTAATTATATAATGACACGTATAAACCATTTGTATATGTATAAAAAATATTTAATTTAGTGTGTTGGGTAATTAAAAGTTATGAAAATATAAAAATCGTAACATATCAATAAGCATATTTTCCACAAGCTTGCATGCGAATGTGCGTGTTTATGAAATGTTTTAATTGTCCGTTTTGAACCGTTCAAATTCCTTATTACATTTACACCTATTGATTAGGTAGCACACATTCCGACGTGAGGCTTAATGTCTGGACGTATTAACTCGAGAAGTGGGTATATCCCGAATATAAAGCATACTCAATTGCAATAGAAACCCTACGATCAACATCGAAATACGGCTCTTCAATTTTAATTATCATTTGATAGCACCAACTTAGTAGTTTCGCTGAAATCCGATATTAAGTGACAGTGAAATATTCAAGCTCTTCCACCAACACTTTATCGATTCGGACCTCGGCTGTTTAGTTTTAGCTATAGGAACATTGCAAATGGCGTAAAGGCATTAAACAAGAGCAGATCCTCCGGTGTAGATGTGTTGGATAACACTGTCATAGTCCACCATGTAAGGCTTCGAAGAATTTACAAATGCAGAGATCCATCTAGCTCCGCTTATATCCACATTAAAGCATTACGCAGAGGGCGACCGATAAACAAGTTTATAGTGTCATCAATATTTATTATCCTTAACATGAATACAAATTGCCAATGTAAGGATAATGTAAATATTTAATAACCAACGGCGACTAAAGCACATTGCGATGAATTCACTGTAACTAATATGTTAAAATAACACAAGTTTTCAAATCGATTGAACGTGTAGCGACGTCATGTTATGCATGATACGTAAATACTCGCACTAAAGTGTCGCAATATTAACAAATGGATTATTTCTTCGCGTCAAAATAATTATTATTTATATGTTTAAATGGATTTTAAATATATAACAATACAAAAACAATAATAGTAGGTGTTTCAACTTTGCTTTCATGCATGTCATTCCATCCTACATTTACTTCCATTCCAAACTTTCTACAGCCATTTTAATAATTATAAAAGTAAAAAAAGAGAAACTTATTTCTTATGAAAGAAAACAAGATTTATACAAAAAATATAAAATGCTTTTGCCCTATTTTTATGACAACTATTTTAACTATCTTTAATATTTGAAGAAAAAATTAAAATTGTTACAAATAAGTGCACTCATTATGCATGTATGCTCAGCTTTAAGACAAATATTAGACATTTATGTGTTTAATATGCAGCTTAATATATATATCACATAAAGTAATATTAAATTAATTACCATTGGTGACCTGATATAGAAATAGTGTTAATTTAACCCTTAAAGTAAAAGCTAAATATTATCTATGAAGTATAAAAGCACATGTTTTGACAAGCTTCACCAGGTGGTTCATAACCTGACACCTGACTTGCAGCATGGCGTTGTGAAGCATCACCACAGACACGGAACGCAGCGCTCGCAGAGTCTGAACCGCGGACCTTCCCTCTCGCGCACTGATGGCACCTGGTGACATCACGGGACCGCGGGTAAGGCACACACCGAACGCACACACTAAAAACACGCAGAAAAAAATAATCATCACAGAAAACATCATTTCCACCTTCTGGAGTCCACTGCTGAATATATCCCCCAAAGACTGCCATGAAGCATGATCTTGAGTCACCTGCATCCTTCCTGCAGATTTCATTTGATAGACATGTCACCAATTCGTCTAGTTGGGGGTCGACCGACACTATAATGGCCAGTGCGAAGCTGCCACTTGAGAATCTTTCTTTCCCATCGGTTATCGGTTCTACGAGCCACTGCCACTTCAGCTTACTAATCTTCTGAGCTATGACGGTCATCTTTGCTCCACTGCAAAGATATCTGTAGTAGAACTAAACAGTAAACATAAACGTAGATTTTTTTTTGATTAGTTTGGTATTCTAAACGTAGAGAGTAAAATATTTACGCAATCCCAGTAAGGTTTTTATTTAAATAATATACAAGTTCTGACAACTGTTTAGCCTACATAAAAACCTACATAAAAGTTGTACAAATACGTATATTTTAATTGGCTAATAAAATATCTGGGCTAATAAATTGTATTACAACAGAAAATTGGCTTTTATCAACAATTCAGAGAAATAAAAACGATCTTAACACATTTGTTAAAATTAAAGTTAAATTAATTTCAATAGGCTTATAGCAATTTTTAAAAACACTTAAGGATGGATCTATCTATACGGTCATGTTGGAAAAATTTAGTTCATTTATTTAAAATTAAAACACCTCATTTTTACCTTCATAGGAATTATATTTAAGAATACATGCTGAACTGTGTATGCAACAAAAACTTAAAGACAATTTAGGCGTCAGCCTTTTTGCTGTTGCCGTGTTGATGTTAATTAGCACTTGACATATAAACTTTACGTAATGTATGTTTTCTTTCAACTGGCATTTATGAGCGACACGCCGTTTGCTAATATCTTAAGAGAATATTTCTCATATGTGTCTTTAAAAATGTTGCTGAATATTAGGATCAGTACTAAGTTGCTGATATTTTAACGTTATTCGTGAGATAATTTGATTCCTTACAGATCATTTCACTGTGTTCTTGAATGTAGAGTATAAGTGAATCTTGGAGGAAATACAGAATGGAATTTGATCAAGTGTACTTATCACATATTAAATGAAACTGTGAGGGAAAATGAGGATTTTATCGCGTTTTAATTTTGATTTTTAATTCCCGACGTTTCGAACCTTTCTAGTTTTCTTGACAGATTCTCCGGTGATCATGTATAATATTCGGGTTAAATCAAGAAATCAATAAGTGTTAGTTGATTTTATAAAAATCAGAGCCAAGATTTTATTCATGAACTTAAAGGTCGAGTATAGCTTGAAGAAGTGTGGATTTTAATGTTAGTAAATCTGAAATGTTGATCACATCGACGATGCACAATCTCGGATGCACAGTTTGAAGAGAGCTCAGAGGAGTAATAACTCACTAGTTTTAGCCCGCGGCTTCGCTCGCGTTGATGCCGTTAAATAAATATATATTTTTTTAATACAAAGAATCCTGAATATGTTCTTTTTAATACCTATAACAATATATGTACAAAGTTTCATGATCGGTTGAGGGGTGGTTTGGAATGAAAGCGTACCAAACAAACTCACACTTACATTTATTATTAGGAATTAGGGATTAGGGATTGCCGTGTTAAAAAGCGTGTTATTCTGCAGGCAGCATAGTGCAGTGCGCCGAGTGCGGCACGCGCACGATGGGCAATAAATTGTCGTCGTGCTCATGCGCGCCCATCCTCCGCAAGGCGTACCGCTATGAAGACAGCCCGTGGCAGAACTCCCGTAGGCGTGATGGTCATCTATTAAGGTATGTCCATACCTTCTCTCGTTATAAACTTCTCTAATTGAATGCTTTTAATATTTTTATCGTATCTTGATATGTTTAAGGTTATTTAAATCGTGGCCTGCGTTTTTGCGTTCATTAAAGCTTGCTGCTTCTTGATAGTAATAGAAATCTACTTTTTCGAAATAAAATTGGCGACAAAATGCCGGTGGTTTATATAATTATAATGTTACTGCATTAAAAACGTTATTTTAATTTTATTGAGCGCAGATAAATGACTGAAAATTCAAATTTAAAGCATTAATGCCTTTATATACACAAAAATCTGGTAACAGGTATTTTAGTTCTTCTTGTATATGAGCATCATTTTGATAAGAATTGTTTGTTGTAATTATATACAACAGGGTTGTAAATCAATTACACGAATTTCTTTACCCCAAGAAAACAAGTCTTTCCTCGGCTGGTGAGCCGATTGGAGCATCGCATTGCCTTTCGCCGCTGTACTGAAAATATCATTGGATCATGACCAATAAGAAAAACCAACTGATACAGCACGATACAAACAAGGATGTTTCCAGTTTTGTCATTATACCCAGGGCTATATGCTGATTTATTTGTAATCAGACAACTTTTAAAAATATTAAAAAGGTCGCATATAAATCAAAAGACAATACAACAATTGTCTTTTCATTTGTATTTTGAGATTGAAAGTTTGTCGAATGTTTTTTTCGTTTCGTCAGTGTTAAGCCTGTTGTTAAGCTTATATGTAAATTTATCGTGTTCTAATTACTCCTAACACAGTTTTTTTTATATTGAAAGCAAAAAAGGAAAAATGCTAAATTGAATGAAAATCATTAAGCACTTAATTCTCTTCAAATGAAAGCAATCATGCAATTTTTCAAATAATATTCGGGATATAAATAGATAATTATAAGAAATGCCACATACAATGTTTATTTTGAATAAGATTTGACAATCCCACTTGATCTCAAACAAGTGTTTACAAAACTTATACTATATTTCTTTTTTATAGTAAGGGTTGCTTTACACTTTCATATTTTGCCACTTCTAAATCAATTAAATTATACAAAGGAAGTTTAATACAACATTTATCGCATTGACATAAAGTTTAAATTAGATTCTTTAAATTACCTCGCATATAAATTTAATACCTGAGTGAGGGTACTCTTAATGTCGAGTAACATAATTAGCGACATCAAACAAGCTGAGACCTAGTTCAAATTGTTTGTATTATGGCTTGGCTCTTAGAAGTTGTAGGAAATAATGGCAATTAACCTCTTGCTTCATCAAATATTCACAGGTTATTGTCTTAAATTAAGTCGGATGTAGATATGATTAATCAATTTGTTTTTAATAATGGTCGTCTTTCAATTTTGAATTATTAAATGAAACACGCATTTCTCGCATTACTATTAAAATTTTTAAACCGTAATACTTGGTATATTCATATACGAAATTAGAATTCAAGTCGCAGTTGGTATTTGAATTAATATACACTAGCTGTTAACTGCGACTTCGTCCGCGCGGCCAAAGGGAATTAACAATGAGTTTTTTATTATACACCAGAATCTCGCAGAAAGCTGAATGTTTTAACTACTTAGTTGACACTTATTATTGCCTATATTTTGGACAATTAACACAATATCGTTATCGTTTTAAGTTATAGCATATGTGTTATTCTGATATATAGTCTATATTATTGTAAAGTTTCATTAAAATCTATTCAGCAGTTTTTGCGTGAAAGAGTAACAAACGTCCATCTATACATACAAAATTTCGCGTTTATAATATTAGTAAGGATGTCGCTTTACCTATTTTGTATGCTTGTATTACGTATATTGGATGCCTCTGCAACACTGTACTTTGCAGGTGATAACTGGCGTCCTTTTACGTTTGCAGACTTTGGGCGGAGGTGTTCCACGTGTCGGCGAGTGGCGCTGGTACTGTCAAATGGCAGCAGGTTTCGGAGGACCTGGTGCCTGTCAATATCACCTGCATCCAGGACTCGCCCGAGTGTGTGTTCCACATCACCGCCTACAATTCCCAAGTTGACAAGATTCTCGACGTAAGACTACTTCAACCGGGTACGTTGCTATTAAGCTAATAACGAAAATATTAGATAATTATATTAGTTTTACATTTTTTCACACAGCCGACCAATCATCGAATCGTAAAATTTGTAAAATTTATTTTTAAGTCTACTTAGCTATCTTTACTTTTAAATTATGTTAGAATCATTAAATTTCATGAAGCATTATGGAATTTATCGCGATTTGTAAAAAACACCTTTGAGATATAATATAAAGAAAGGAAAAATAAATATAAACAATGAATCGGAAAGCCTCGCAGACTTTTAAATTTTAATATATAGACCACAGGAAATTTGCTCCAGTACAAAATTAAATTTCAGGAAATCTGTTACAAATGTATTTACAATATAGCATAGCTAAGGTTGATTTTCATTCACTTCGTGTCAATAGAGCGTAACTTCAAATTAATATGCTTAGGTTTTAACGACTTATTAGAATTCTAATTGACTGTTTTTTTTTTTTTCATATTTTATACACATCTTTAATTCTGAACATAAAAAGTTTTCGCAACAACGTTAAAAAGATATCAAAGACTAGTATTAATAGAGTTTGGTACCTCTAAACTACGGTACCAAATAAATGGGTGATAGTTCTTAATAAAACTTGGGTTGGATTACATGTTGTTGTGGGCTCAGATGGTGGCAGTAATTGTCATATTGCGCGCGGGCGCCTGGTGCTTTTCAAAACTCATAAATATGCACACTTTAATTATGAACCTCGGCAAATAAACTTTTCCACTCTCTCTCTCTTTGTAGCTTTTTGTAGCCGATTTTTAAAATAATACCCTTTATAATTAAAAAATGTGTGAATTTTAACTATAACTGGCACCGATATTTAAAGATTGTTTTTATAATTTTTAAAGATTTTCGAATTCTTCCACGTCATAAAAAACTACTTTATATCCTGTTTGTTTATTAGCTGTTGCTAGCGATTGTCCACATGGATATGAATATATAATTTAAATGCAAATTACTTTCTAAATATTCGGTTTACAAACATACTTTTAACTTGTGAGCAAATAGCCAGCTGAGAATTTTACTTTTGTACTGTCACTGCTATCCGCGAATTCGTATTATGTTAAAAATGTATTCTTATGTGTAGAGAAAAAAATCATCAAAAAGATCGGAAGCAAAAATTACATAACAATAATACTGATAATGAAAAAAAAAATCAGGCTGAGGTAGAAGATCACGGCAAGAATACATACATACATGTCTGAACAAATAATGCTTATAAAAATCGTTATTTCTTAAAATCTTTGTAACCTTTTTAAAGCCTTTTCTCTTTAAATTGAATAAAAGTTTTTGTAAAATTACACATTTTCACATTGCTTTCCGTCGAATATTAAACTTTCCTAGAGTAAAAACATGGTAAAATAAATATTTTCTAAACAAAATGGCTTCGAATAGCGTTATCTGTTACTCGCTTATTCCCTATTATATTCTTACTTTACCTTTATCTGTTTTAGTCCCCCGTCTGTTAGTAACCCATCTGTTTTAATAAACATCGTTATAAATAGAACTCAATAAACTGACCCTGTTTTAAGCAAATGTATTTACAATTAAATTACAATTAAATCTCCGTAGTACTGTGTAGCCAAATATAGAAACACCGATAAAAGTTGTAAGAACTTTATTTTCAGGCATCTCTATGTATCTTTGTAACATGAAGTAACCATTCTTTTTATGAATAGCACTAAGCAATTTTATTAGTTTTCTTTATGTATCGTGCAGCGTTGTTAAACATATTTGTAGGTGTACTTACGGAATGTTTGGAGGATTGACTAACAAATACAGAGAAGCATACCATTTAAGTTTACACACGATGACCTCTCCTTGTAGGTAGTAAAGTAACAGCCTATACATGTCCCACTGCTGGGCAAAGGCCTCCTCTATACAGAGGGTATCACGGCATAGTCCACCACGCGGCCCCACCGCGGATTGGCGGACTTCACATATCTTCGAAATATATTTTTTTTGTTATTATTTCGAAAATATGCACGATTCCACACGATGTTTTCCTTCACCGCGGAGCACGTGATAAGTCAGCACTTAAAGTTAAAAACTTCATTGGTGCCGGCACCGGGGATCGAACTCAGGTTGCTCGAGTATATTGAATTAAAGGCGAGCGCTCGGACACTGAGCCATCACGGTTCCTTGTAGGTAAAACTAATTATTTAATTTTATCTATGTTTACGCGATTATATATTATAAATGAAACTATTTTAAAAGGATTTATATTTTTGAATTTGACAATTGCAACCAATTAATGTTGTTTAAGGAAACTGAAATAAAGTTAACTTTTAAATGTAATATATAAAGAGCATAAAGCGTATTTATAACCTGTTAGTAATGATAAATGCACATTAAATCCCTTACAAACACGAAATAAACAATCGATGAAAATTATTTTATACTTACTAGCTATTTCATTATATGGCCTATTATTGAAACTATCCAGATACACAGAATTCATTCATCAGTGATTCTCTTCATAATAATACTCTGACTCGACAAAACGACACACATTTCTCTTTCTTAATTTAGGACACAATAATTCGGTACTAACAGAAGGTCTATTCAATTTGCATCTGAAATAACTACAGCATCTCTTCACATTTTTCTAACTTCGTAATAACTAAATTCGAGCTTTGTGATGAAACTTTGTAGAGTTCGCTAAACAAAACATGAAAAACACGAGAACGGTGTTTAAACTCGTTATTTTATAGACATTCTGCTGTTAAGCTTTTTATGTGCCTGTGATATAAAACAATTCTTTTGGTTGTAACGTTGGCGCCACACGAAGAAGTTTATAGAGGAAAAATCGACAAACGCGCCAGTCGACGGCGTAGCCCAGTTTTAAAATTACACTAGATAGTAAAGCGGGTAATCGACTGAAAACCGTACCAGCACGCAGAAGCTATTGTTAGGCGCATGCTTGACTTTGTGTTACTTCTGCTATGTTTAATTAGTCTGAACTTAAAGCTGCGAATTGGCTGTTTTGTATAATTAGGGGTTTGGGACCAGAGAAACACATTCTGATGTGTGGTGGTTATTTGCACAACTAAAATCATCATCACAATAAAACTGATTACAGAACAGCTTCATAATAACGTTGCGCAAGTGATGCATGTGCTAAACGAAACACACAGTTAAACAGTTAAAATACAAAAACTAATGGAAATGATTACAACTTTTTACTACAGAAAATTTCATCGCTGTACAATGAAGGAGGATCTGAGGGTCAATAATACGTCTTGTATAAATTACAGTGAAATCCATTTAAACCTGCCAAATGTTTTTAAACTATTATATATATTTTAAACTATTATTTAAATGTTGTCTGTAAATTTTTTTTAAATGTTTTATTTCAGGCACCCGGATAGGACAAGCTTCAGAATGCTTTGTGTATTGGAAGGACCCAATGACGAACGATACATGGGGATTAAATTTCACATCTCCAATCGATGCCAAACAGTTTAGAGAATGTTGTGTAAGTCTCGACAATGCAATATATATCACGTAATAGAATCGAAATATATTACGTAAAATAAATTTAAAAAAATATTCTTGTCTCTCGAAGGCCAACAACTTAGACTAAATAAACGACTCAGTATAAATAAACGTATGTATTTGATAATTCCTATAATGTATGTTACCAATTTCCCTTTTAAATATGGTTTTTAGTCACCATCGTTCAAGTTTTCGCGCAAGGCTTCATCGAGTTACAGCTTAAAATTGGAGCCACCGGGGAGCAAGCAAAAGTTTAAAACTAAAAGGAAACCGGTGTCCACACCCGCTAGTCCCAATCGCTCTAGGTAACCTTTTTATTTAATAATATTTATTAAAATTATCTCGAATTGTAGATGATTCTAATATGTAATAAAAATGTGTTACAGTCTGACTTACGGACGCGAGCCGCAATGCACGTGCATGACTCAAGAGCAATACGCAAGGCTCAGGGCCCAAGACCCGCGATATCGTAAGTCAGAGTATAAATCCCGCTAACATATAGAGAAATCTCTATCCCTAAGTACTAAATCTTCCCATGTCATAGGTTCCTCGACTCTGCCACGTACCACCGCCCGTGCCATAGAAACTGAGACCGGAGCACCGGGCGGTACAGCAAATCGCTCCGACAAGGTCGCTGCCGCAACTTCCTCCACTTCGTTGTACGACAATGTCACAAACTCGCAACCTGCAACACAGCCGCCACCAAAGCGTAAGTTTTAACCAAATTGTAACTATTCCAATTAAATAATAAACACGGTTTGAAAGAAAACAAATGTTAAAACAAGCTTGAAAGATGAGAGAAAACAATTTTTATGGAAAGCAATGATTAAACCAAAAATAACAATCTTAGACTCTTAGATCTGGACACATTCTATGTAACAACATTGCCTTCTTAAGGAAGAAAACTATTTCAACTTCACCTCCTCTTTATCTATCTTCACTGGATGTATCATCTTCATGGAATGTGTTAGAAATGAGCCTAACAGGAACAATTTGATAAGAGACATGAAATTAAGCAAATATAATGTAGGCTTTTTAATTATTTATGACGCCACCTATATAGTGAGACAATGCAAAAATTCATACAACAATATGAATTTATAATACGTATTAGAAATAAGCCATAGTAATAAATAACATAAAATTAGGGCACGTTGGGACTGACATGCGCACTACCGAAAAGTCAATTAAAAATAAACATTACAAAATAATAATAACAACCGTTGTGCTCAAATTTACATGTTCACAAATTTATTTGAATTGACAGAATTTGCTGTAATAAATGCTGCATGTTTTTACCCGTCTTAAAAATACATTTACGCGATGAATTGATCTGGTTATTTGCACTATCTACGTTCACCAAATCATCCGTACAAGATAGAGTATGAATATTAACAAATGTACTACGCCTGTAACGGTTTTAAAAGAAAAAAATTACACTTAGAATTTTGCGAGCACAAATACTTATTTCTTCTTTTTCTCTTAGAAAGTTGCATTTGTAATATATTGTTCATTATATTGAAAATGTTCAATAACATTCACTAACTATTCGTCCCTGATACATAACTTTCAACATTAAGATAGAAGTTGTATTCGACGGAATTAAACTTGATTCTTTGCGTTTCTAACGATCATGCCGTAAAAGCATGTTAGTCAGTCTTCAAAGAAAACTCTTTGTAGGTTAACGACCATTTTATAATGTTATAAACTTAGAAGTTGGTTTCAGCTGGGAATGCTATAGATAAATTTAAAGTTTGAATTAGTTCAAAATAAATGTAAGTAGATCTTAGGTTATAATTTATAACAGTTTTTCTCTTTTTCAAATGATTTTGTTCCTTTCCTTTCCATTGTATCCTGGAGTTATCTGCCAATTACACAACTAAACTGAATTATTAGCCACCTGCAACAAGATGTGAGTTCATTAAAGCTTTATTTAATCTTTATAAATCTCTATGAAAAAGGTTAAGAATAGAAGATAGATTTAGTTCTGTATACTGGAAGCTAAAACTTTATATAAAAAGATAAAAAGAAATAATTCACCAAGATGAAAAAGCACTTGGTGAATTTAACGCCGTTGCTTTGATAGTATTCAGTAAATATATAATCGAGGTTGTTTTGTTTTATCACTGCTAAGCCTATCTTTGAAAATTAAAGAGGGTTATGAAAACAATAATACATCGCAAATATTAAAAGGAAACAGATTAAAATAAAAATTACCGATTGAAATTAACGTTAAAGGTTTTATCCAGTATCAAATTTTGTGACATTATTCAATTCTATTGAAATGTAAATGCTAAAATTTTGTTGAAATGCCAGTATGTTACTCACAATGCTTGTTAAGTGGAAGATTAAAGAGCGCCTTAAAATTTTTAGTTCAAAAAAACATCGTTACTTTTGCTACACGGGTGGAGTCGGAAAAACAAGTAAATTATGTTGTTAGTGATATTTCCTAGGATTTTTATGAACAAGCGCATGCTTTATGGCTGACAAAGGACAGTCCTTATAATAATTATACTTTTGATGTTATAAATCCTTTATTATAATTAATAACTACCTGATGCCCGCGATTTCTTCTGTGTAGGATTAGTACTTCGAGTAGTCTTTATACTATCTAGTCTTAATAATCTTATCTTAGTACTATCTTTATACCAAAATTGGTTATGGGGCTTAGTCGTGAAGGCGTAACAAACAGCCGCAGTTACTCTGAGACACCCTTGTATCTTTATATATTATAGCCTATGTGTTATATTCTGATGTATAAGCTATATTATTGTAAAGTTTCATTAAAATCCATTCAGTAAAATTTGCGTGAAAGAGTAACAATGGATGTTTGTTGACATACATATATGAAAACTTTCGTGTTTATTATATTGAAAAAATAAAATAAAATAAAATAAATATAATATGTAGTAACAATAATTATAAACCATCTTCTTTTCTTATTCGTAATATTATATTATTTTAAACTTTTCCTTATCATATGAAAGATACCTTTTTTCTCAACATATTTTTTGTTTTAGCGGCTGCACGGCAGACTGAAGCTCAGCCGCCTACGCGTCCCCCAAAATCGCAGGAGACGTCGACTATGACTACTAACACGTCTACAGCACCTAAGACAGTAACTGCCTCGGTCGGCACGCATGGCACTAATGTAAGTCTCCTCTGCCTTAACCACGATGATTTTGGCTTATTTTCAACTAAGACAGAAACAAGTCTATGACAGATAGATAAGCATAACATTACTTTCAATAGTTGGAAATTAATTTTGAGAGCAAAACAATTATTGCCCGATTTTAGAATTGAATCGTATACTGTTTCTAAATTACAGACATCTGAGGAAAATCAAGGGCCGTCCGGTGGAGGCGCTGCCCAACATGGTCAAGACTTGAAATCCGAGGGGGTGCAAGCAGGAGGTACACTTACAACATCGAAGTCATCATCCACTTCTACTCGTTCCGGCAAAGACCATTTGCAGCACATGCCCAAGAGCGTTGACTATGGAGACGGCAACGAATCGGTAATTCCAAAACCACTTTCAACTTAAATCTCGTTAACCCATTTGAACAATGTCTATTCTAACATCTAAATCTAATAACTATATTCTTGTTTTCGTAATTATATAAGCGTAAAGATGTAAAACTACTTTTCAATTGATAAGTTAAAATTGTAAAAAGTAAAGTAAATTAAAGCCTAAACATGTCCCACTGCTGGACAAAGGCCTCCATTGAATTTTTTTTATTATTTCGAAAACATGCAGGTTTCCTCAAAATGTTTTTCTTCACCGCAGATCACGTGATAATTCAGTACTAAAATTAACAATTTAATTGGTGCTGGCACCGAGGATCGAACTCGGGTTCCTCGAGTATATTGAATTTAAGGCGAGCGCCCGGACAATAAGTTATCATGGCTATAAAAATTGTATAGAAGTAATATAATTGTTTAAAATTTTTAGTCCCGTGAGTCTGACAAGCACGCAATGCATCATCATAATGTCATAAACAACAACACTGGCTCACGGCGTACCAAGTCCAAGAGTACAGAAGACATGAATATGGGTATGTTAATTCTTATAGCGTTATCTTCATAAAATATTCGGTTATTTTTTAAACATATTAAATCATTCTTAATTTATTTATTGTTACTAATAATAACATTGCTAAAATCTAAACAGAAAACGCACAGTGAGTGGCAATTATCATCGTATTTAACTATAAATAGAAATTCATTTTTGGGTTGATATGTCTAGCTCAATCTACACCTGCATTAATTAGTTTCCCATTTCTTCTTACGTGCTGCCTCCTTTTTTTAATGATAAATGCATTATTTTTTTGTACTTTTTTTTAAAACTTTCTTTATTTAATATTATAAGCTTGTTTAAATATCTTATTGAACGTCAAAAACCTACTACAGGGTCAGTTATTTAAATCAAGGATGAGCAACGCACGGCCCGCGGGCAGCTTGCGGCCCCTTAAACATGTTGATGCGGCCCGCAAGCATTTCTAAAATTGAATTTATTTTATCGAATTTTTCCCATCAATATATTGTTACAAAATTAATTATAATAAAATGGTAGTACATACCGAACCGAAATATTTTTTGTTCGTTTTTCTGTTGTTTTCTTGTTTGTTTTTACCTTGCATTAAATTTTGTAAATGAAATCTTTACTTTTTTTTTATTTTATATTTTTTATTCTAATATTCATTTTAAATAAAGTTTCGTAAATTATTGTGTGCGGCCCGCCAAAAAATTTGAAATTTAAATTGGCCCATTGATTAAAAAGGTTGCTCACCCTTGATTTAAATTATCCAGAGGAGAACTGGCAAGAAATTCTGCCGTCTTGTTTTCTCTTTTTTTTTAATGATATTCTTTGAGATTAAGATTATAGTAGGTCCTTTACATTAGCGTAGCTTTTACAAAATATTGGAAAGTGTTTACACTTATTTGTTTTGTTCGTGAATGTCATCAAAATTATTATTGTATTTATTCTTTTATAAAAGTTGTACCAAAGTACCAAAAAACGACTTTCTGGTTTTATCCAGTCTAAACATTGGTAGTTCCAGTGGATCAAAACGTCCCCGAAGTGGTACGTTTATTTGTAAAAATGTGGATATTTTCATACCATCGTGGTTCTCAAATATGCACAGAGAAGGCGTCGTTAAAACTTTTATATTCTTTAAAAGATGCCATGATAACTCACGTGGACCCAAACTATAGGCAGCTCGTATCGCTTAATTGTGTAATACAAATATGGTGTGATAACTTTTGTTGCCAGTTTAGTTTTATTATACATTAAACGAGCTACATCCAGCCAAGCTTCGCTGTGGATTTCTTGTTACCGTTGTGATTTCAGAATTAAAATTTTAAAAGACATTCTCCTGGACAATGGCTAAGTTGTGAACAAATTATCAAGTCTTGGCTACTTTTTTAGTTTTATTGCCACTAAGATACGGATGCAATTTTTTTATATATAAAGATAAAACAAAAACATAAAATTTCGCAAGGTATAATAGAGGAGAGAAGAGTATATAGAAGAAATAAGCGATAAGAGTAGCGTACAATAAAATGAAACGTGTACTCTTCACAGACTCGAGCACGTTGAAGCGTATGCTTAAGCCGATGCCGTCGACTGAAAGCCCTGTCACCTCTCCGGAAATGGGTCGTCGACGGTACGGCGTCGCTGGGCCCTGTCCGCCCTCGTGCGGCGCCCACGGCCACCGCCACCCCCAGCACATGCACCCCCACGGCCACTACTCGCACGTCGTCAACAACAACAGCCGACAGAGCTCACAGCGCTACCCTTCAGCCAGGTAAAAACTCAGCCAAGTCACGAACTTAAAGATTAAGGTTAGGGTGCATATGAAAAAGGGTGCACAGGGCGCAGGAGAATTAAAGGGGTATCTGGATCTGGATCATTAATTGGATAACCTGGAGAAGATTGTAACATCGTGCTAGGTTCAATAAATTTAAAGCAAAAAATTCATACTTATAATATATAATATATCATAAACGCAAAAGTAACTCTGTCTGTCTCGCTTTCACGCCTAAACTACTGAACCGATTTAAATGAAATTTGGTACACAGATAGTTTAGAGCCTGACATAGGATATTTTTAATTGGAAAAAGGGTTATAAAGGGTTCTTAAGGATAGATATTTATTTAAGGGCTTCAATGCCGGCGAAGCCGCGGACGTAAGGCTAGTCATAATATAATTTCAGATAATAACATTGGAAACTAAGTGATGGAGCTAAACGTGAAAACATTCAATATTATTTGCGCAGTAGGGGTGTGGGTGCGGGGGCGGCGCCAAGCGGTTATCCGGGGCGCGGCTTATACTTGGAACTGGGTGGTGGTGAGCGGGACCTGTCACCACCGTCTGACAACGTGATGTTCGACAACCAGTGCTACGCGACCACTCCGTCATCCTCCAACGGGAACTCCGACCAAGAGCATTGCCAACGCCGCGACCCACGCCAGCATCATCACCCGGTATTTCCTTTTCTTATCATGTGATCTAAAATTATCAGCTCTTTGCATAGGTATTGCTGTATACAAGGATTGTTGGGTGTCCGATGATTTATCGCTACCTACTTTCTTTTCAAACATGTATACGGACGGGCACACCGAAATGATCGGGAATAAGAAAAACCACATGCACGATGTAACTAAATTATATTTTATTGTTTTTCGTAGAAAGTATTCTCCGTTCAACTTAATGCACTTTTCCATTCGTGCAAATCAATCATTAAAACAGTAATTCCAGTCTGTAGTTGATTTTGACAAAATGGCTGATTTGTACGCTTCCACAGCTGCCTCGGAGTCGCGTTGTAAACCGTTGATCGCGTGGTAAATCTTTCATTCTAGGGAATGTAAAGAAATCGTTGGCGCTTAGGTCAGGACTGTACGGAGGATGGCTCATCAGCTCAACGTTTTCCTGCTTAAAAAATAATTTTTCTTCCGAGCCGTATGGGAGGTGGCATTATCGTGATGTAAAATTATACGACGTTTCGGGTTATTTTTCGGAGTTCGGCTATCATTTCTGGCAAACAAACACTCAGCGGTAACCGTTCTGCGTTCCTGTAAAAGATTTGTATCAACATGCCCCTTATTCGAAACAAATGTAGCGAGCATTTTCTTTGACACGTTGCGGGAGCGAACCACTTTCGCTGGTTGGACCTCGTCTCGAAGACCCAAACTGCTGACTGATGTTTTCTTTCAGGTTCGTATGAATAAATCCACGATTCGTCACCCGAGACGATATTATAAACGGCATTTGACTACCCTCAGTTGAAGCGTTGCAGAGTATTCCGGCATCTATCTACACGAGCCACCTTTTGCTCTTCGGACAAATTGTGGGGAACCCAGGAGGAAACTAGTTTTCATACACACAGCTCACTATGTAATATCGACTGAATTGCAGTCATTCCGATACTGATAACAGCCCGAATCTGCTCCTATGTCACATGACGGTCATCTAATATAATAGTTCGCACGGCTGCGATGTTTTCAGGCGTAACCGCTGTTCTTAGTCGACCTGCAGAAGAAATAGTGCTGAGCGACACACGACCGCGTCGCAACTCGGTACATTGTCGTTTGACTCGGTGCTTCAACATCATAAATCGAAACAAGTTCGCTGAGAAATTTATCTTGAGATAAGCCGCGACGAAAATTGTGATAAATAAAATTGGCACGGAAATGTTCACGCGTGAGCTCCATTTCTGTTAAAGACGTGCCAACTTTAAACCAACATCGTTTTTGATTTTAAACATTTTTTTTTATTGTATTAATTTCATTAAGATTCTAAGAGGTCAGTACTCAAATTCTAAATAAGTTTTATTGATAATTAATAAGTTTTATTATAACTCAATCATTTGATCGGGAATAGAATATTTCGGATTGTTCCTCGTAAACCTCTGTATTTTATTTAAAGATGAAACTCTATCTAATAAGTTCGATTATTACTTGGATTCAAATATTTACAATTCATGCGAAAGATGTCAATCCAATATCGGAAGATGCTGATTTACTGACAAAAGCAATGATAGATAACCAGAAAATACTTACAAGTAAAAGCACTGTAGTCAAAAGAACTCAATTCGTCAACAATATAGTCTTATTATTATATTATATAATAGTCTTATTATTGCTAACGGCATTAAACAAAAAACACGTCCAAAGTGAAAACTATCTAGCTTTACAACTTGTAAACGTTATTTAAAGTAGTTAAGAAAATAATTTTTAGGAAGTATTTATTGGAAAAAAAATTGTATGTATTGGAAATTATTTATTATTAAAGTATTAAAATAGTATTAAAATGTTAACTTATAGCGCTTTTTTTTTAAAGTGACAGAATTGCCGAGTTTTCACTTGAAATATCTGAGTAGGAACGCTTTTAATAACGGAATAACAAAGTGAGCTTTTACTGTGGTAGGGCCACGCATTAGTGTTCATTAGTTGTTGCACGAATGGGTAGGTCCAGCCTGGTAATTTCCTTTACCGCAGAGAGGGCCGGCGTAAAGTAGTGTTACACTTCTGCGTTTCGTCTGGTGAGTGAGGTAGCCGGGGCTCACTTTATTTAAAGGTGTCAACGCATTTGCAACCCTACGGGTGTTGCAAATGTCCATGGGCGGTTATTACTTAACATCTCTCGCTTTCCACTTTTCCACATTAAAAAAAAAAACTTTTGTCATTAGCAGCCGAAGCCGTGCCTATCACGGCAGGTTTCGCAATCGAGTGCCACTCCGGCCCCTGGTTCGCCCACCTCGCGCCTGCTTCTCGAGTACGAGATGCACCTCCGCAACACTTTGGCGAAGGGAATGGACGCGGAGAGCTACAGCCTGCACACGTTCGAGGCGTTATTGAGCCAAAGCATGGAGGACTTAGGTAGTGTGTCTTTATTTTAGCTTTATGTTACAAATTGTGTTACATTATGTTACAAATTGAAGTCGTCTGTGTTTGGCACGAAGCCGCTTTGTTGGACTACCTGTGATTTCGTTAGTATTATTGTTATTGATGTGAAACATCTATAGCCGCACGTAAAACCGATTTCTGGAGTGGCGAAGCATGCCGTGGTGACGTGCCGATTATTACGTCGGTAAGATCGAAAAATATTATGCATATTTCATTACTCAGTAATTTGTATCTAAATGTAATTTCCAAAATACACGATTTACCAAAAAAAAAAAACAACCGATTACTATTACCGAAGTCCCTGATTAAACGAATTAAGTAGTCACGATTTGAAGTAAATTTTTGTATTTAATGAAAATAAATGTTTATTCAATAAATAGTCATCGTTATCTGGAAAAAAATCGTAATATTTTATTTTATCATTATGACATATTTAGTTCCTATCACTGTTCTTTTCTGCATATTACTTTTACAAAATAATGTCGATGTTTCACATCTGCCAGGCGTCCCGTGACGGCTCACATTTTTATTTTTTATTGTAATTTAATTTGTTCAATCAAATAATATTGTATAAAAGCGAGTTTAAATGACTTTGTTGAATGAATGAATGAATATCTTTTTTGCCAGAATATGGTAGTACATTGTGATCTTAATTATCATAAGTTTTATGCAAAACTAGCTGACTCGGCAAACGTTGTTTTGCCATATAAATTATTTTTAGAGGAATCGGAACGTACGCATAAAGTTTTTGGCAAGTTACACAGACATAGTTGACAGGTACAGTTTGTATGGGAAAATAAAATTGTTCGATTCGATCGATCTTCAATGCAATTTTTCCATAATTTCTCATCGTTCAAACCTTCCCTGGACTTCCCACAAATACTTCAAAACCAAAATTAGCCAAATTGGTCCAGCCGTTCTCGAGTTTTTGCGAGACTAACGAACAGCAATCCATTTTTATATATAAGATATTCAGCTGACTTCAGCATGCAAATGTCAATTACATATTAAATAACATAATCATAATAAATTAAATCATTGTTGGAGGTAGGCAATCTCAGCGACCGCATATTTAAAAATTCTTAAACCATTGAAAAGGTAATTGACTCCAGATGGACATAGGCTTATGTATTATTACTGTGAAAACTTAAATCTGTATAATCGGAGCAGGGTGGGTCGTTAGTAGTTAATAGTATACCTATAATGAAAATACTCTACACGAAAGAAGTTAAATTGAAATTTTTACGATGCAAATCCAAAAAAATTACCATCATTCAGTAAAGATGATGACTCCGTGGCGCAGTTGCCAAGGCATTGGCTTCGGTGTCGGGGGTCGTGGGTTCGATTCCCACACGGGACAACTATTTGTGCGACCCACAGATAGTTGTTTCGCATCTGGGTGTTTGTCCACGTGAAATTTATGTATGTAAAAACGTCCTTACAACACAGGATAATGTTATCCTAAAGTAAGGGCAATGTTTAACTACAAAAAAGAAAAAAGAAAAAGAAAAGAAAGAAAAGATAATTATTTACAATTTCGATACTCAAATTAAGAGGTATGTATCTGTATAATACCATTAATAGGTTTCTCTTCGTAAAAATAGTTATCATTCAACAATTACCTACGATTGTCGTACCCACGGCAACAACATTGAGCAAATGTTTTTTGTGCAGAATACAACGATAGTATGCCGCCTACCAATCAGCGAAGCCCGTATCCACCACGTAGACGTGAGTAATTTATTAATTTTTAAAGAAAATGTAAAGAAATTATCACCTTGTTAAATTATGACCTGAATGAATATTGAATCCTGATGTTAAGTGATAACCGCCGCCCATGGACATTTGCAGCACCCATAGGGTTGCAGATGCGTTTGGGCAAATACGCTTCTGTAAGCACAGTCCACCGTGCGACCCGATTGCGGATTGGCAGACTTCACTTTTTCTACTTTCAAACAATGTTTTTATAATTATTTCTAAAATATGTAGGTACTTAAGTACACTTTATAATTTTTAAATATAGTAATCTAACTTCTATTACTTTTATATCAATGGGTAATCAATTTTCATGCAACCGGAATTATAATTTTTAAAGCAATAACTATAATTGTATAGTAACTTGTTAATAATTTAATCGTTTTGTTAATTAATGTTTGGTGCATCGTTAATTTAAAATAAGTTTTGCTAAATAATATAACGCCATATGAAACATTATCAAAATAAACCAAAACACACTTTTATTTGTGTAAGTTACAGTACCGCAGTTGTTTAAAACCGTAGTAGCTAAAAGCAAGGAAGGTAAAGTTCGCTTCACTTATAAATATACTTTTTATATTTTTTCAATAATTTCATTTACTTAATTTAAAATTTTCACACCGTGAACTTTAGTTGCGGTGGCATGTACGGTTTATCAATTAAAACAAACCGCACCATTAAATAAAAAAGATGGAGCAACATGTTCGCAAAAACCTGATGATTATCATCTGCGATGATAAGAAATCGTCATTATGGAATCTGTTGTTATGTATCTTTTTCATCGTAAACCACTATCGAAATGTGAGTGGCCAAATTCAAAGTTGGCCAAAAGGGCATTACAGATGACTCTCATCTCCGGCGGCCTGCCTACGACGTCTACGACTGAAGAAAACATCGATAAGTGTGATCTCATGTGGGGATTCACATCATAATTATTTATATTCTTTTTTAAGATTTCCGCTTATGATTTCTCGCGAATATTTGGAGATCTATGAGGCTGCACGATGTTTTTTATAGAAGTATGAACAAAAATAAAACCGGGTTATCGATATACCCAGAATCCAAGCAATAGAAAAAAACTGGTAAACTGGAGAAAGGTGTTTTTTAGATGCTAAGGGTGTCATCATTGTTGACTACCTTGCAATTTCGACGTACTCGATTGCACCCTTTTAAGTCGAGAAGCAATCAAGGAGAAAAGTCATAGATTTTATAACGCTTAATCGGGAAGCAAACCTATTATTTTATAACTATACTACTCGCATTAAAATGTTGGTTGAATCCATAGCTCAAATTCATGACGGAAATTTCGAATAAGCTCATCCGAATTATTCTCCTGTTTTGCCACCTTCCGATTTTCATCTGTTTCCAAACAAATGAAGTTGAAAATAAGTAATTCACATTACTTTTACTTTAAAGAATAATAATTTGATGAGAATAGAATAGAAACCATGGAAAGCAGGTGCATGAAATGTATTGAGTTATTTGGTCATAATGTAGAAAAATAATTTATTTATTTATTTCACTTAATGTTTTGAAAGTAACAAATATTCAAAAATGTCGATTTAAAAAACATGACAAAACCTAATTAAAAATGTACTAATAAATTATTTACTAAAAAATAAAGAAGGGAACGGCTTGAATGCAAATATGTATGTGTATGCGTGTGTGCGTGCGTGCGTGCGTGCGCGTGTGCGTGCGAGAGTGTGTGTGTGTGTCTAAACGTTAATACTTGGTGTTTTATGCAATACGAGACACGATTCAGTACAAAGTTTCCTGCAAAACGAGTATGCACTAATGGTGTTTATAAACAACGGTAGTTTTTATGACGAGTGTGCTTGAACGGCACATTAAGCGATAGCTCAGCTAACAGATTTGGGGTATCGAAACGACTGGAGAGTTGGTCATGTAGAATCATCAAATCTATCAATTCGCAACTTTGCTTGAGTTGTGGTAGTTTATAGTTAAAGCAGCCCTCTTCATAGCTATCCTAAATACATTTTTTTAAATAAAAATGTTTGTGTTTATATTTTATAAAAATCGAAAGGCTATTGGTTAATTGGTTATTTATTCCTCTAGCTCTTCAGCCAAAGTTTTCTTAATATGTCCTGATTTTTAAGATAATGGAGTCCATTGTCAACTGGTAGCTGCTTAGTTACCTTGAGGGCCCCCGTTGATTCGTGATTTTCAGTGTAATTTCGACACTGGTCGCTCAATGTTCTGATCTACCTAACTCATCATTGGTCTCAGTTATGGTTAGGTTAGACGTAGCGAAAGCATTTGATCAGGTTTAGCACGGAGCACTTTCTAACACTACTTCTTATGGGCTTTCTGAGAAATTATGCAATTGGATCACCAGTTTTCTCAAGGATCGGAGCATCATAATTGTTGGTGATCACAAGACCGTAAATGCTGGAGTCTCCCACAAGGCTGCTACTGTCCCCCTTCCCTGAATCTTCTTCATATCCATGACTTGTTGCATATTAGCAACATTTTTTTCTATGCGGATGATAGTACTGGCGACAGTTTATACACTAACCGGGCAAATATTTATCAGGAAAGTACCGGTGAGTTTCAGAATACTTGTGTCTGAAGTCGAGAATTTGTTCGGCAATATCTCGGCATATGAAAAGCTTGGTGTCCTGGGCAGAGCGGGGATGTATTTTCTCCCATCCCATCGCCTGCATTTCATTTCTCAGAGGAAGGCAACGCATTTGTGACTCCTCTGGTGCTGCGAGTGTCCATGGGCGGTGGTGAATACTTAACACCAGGTGGCCCACCTGCTACTTTGCTTCCTTTTCCATAAAAAAAGAGTTTTTAAAATATCAGAAAGATTTATGCAAATCATACTGAGTTTCCTATAAAATATCTATATAGACGAGTATAAACGAAAATATTTCGTAAATTTATTATTTCGTATATATCGTGTATTCTCGAGAAATAAAGTGAAAATCGACGACACGGATTAAATTACTTTTTTGTGTAGGAAGTGATAACAGTTAATTTGTAACCGCCGCCATGAACATTTTTTAACATGCGTTGTTGCTGATGCGTTGCCACCTTTTAAAAAAGCGGTTACCTCTCTCACCAAACGAAACGAAATAACACTTCCACTTCGCGCCGGTCTTCTGTGAGGTCGTGGTACTTCTTCGAACGGACCTGCCCAAACATGCTACAGCCTATACTGTTACGTGGCACTACGTCCGCGTGTATTATGAACACGTGAGAACACCACTGACATAATAATTGTAGCTGATTGCCGAAGGTACAGACTTTTATATCATGCCCTCTGATGTATAACTTATTACAACGACGAGACTTAAATATAGAGGTTATCTTTTCACAAAACACTTCCAATTTGAGGGGTTGATTGCCACTGTGACGGGTCAAAGGAGCCCTTCACCTTGGCTCCTACTTTCCAGAATGTGTCCTTGGAGTATACCGACCACTTTCAGTTGTTGGGAGTTGAAATATCTTCAAACCTCAACTTTGCGCGGTTCATTGAGTGTAAAGCTGCAAAGAAGTTAGGTGTCCTTGCAAAGGTGCGACAGTACTTCTTACCGGGGCAGCTCCTTACTCTTTACAAAGTTCAAGTCCAATCCGTGTGTGGAGCACTGCTGCCATATCTGGGCTGGGACCGCAAAATGCCACCTGGCTGCTCTAGACTCAATGGAGAGGCGTGCGGAAAGACTCATTGGTAACCGTGATTTGGTTAAAACCAATCTGACTAGTCTTGACCACAGGCGCAGAGTAGCCAGTGGTTTTCTTCAGGACGCATTGTGGAGAGTTTGCGTAGGAGTTGCATGTATGACTCCTCCCGCCCCTTTCCATCATCGGGCAACTAGACGTTCGGCGGGGCTCCACCCTTTTGCTGTCGACGTTCGACGCACAAGAACGAAGCGATTCGCATCGTCATTTATCATCCGTACGGCTTAGGAATGGAACAACCTACCGACACCGATCTTTCCATCCGATTATAACGTAGGTGTCTTGAAGGCAAGAGTAAATAGTTCCTCTTGAATCACTCAATCTAGTAAAAAAAAAAAACGCATCAAGATCCGTGGCGTAGTTTTAAAGATCTAAGCATACATCATAGGGACAGACAGACAGTGGGAAGACTTTGTTTTATACAATATAGAGAGAGTTTTAAGTTTGCCTTTAACTTCGACAAAGGCAAAATAAAAACTTTATTGGGTACATGTCTGTCTCAAGCAATTATGAAAGTAGTCTTTCACCCGATTAAACTTTAGACGTGTGTAAACTAGAAGAACTAATCAGATCTCAAACAGTCAAATTTACATTTTTGTTTTTCTTTACTTTCAAATAATCAGGATAAAATTAGCTGAAGTCATGATGTTATGAGAGTCATTTCCCCCCACCTTGATCATGTGTATATTTCTTCACATTGAAAGCTTAGAGCTGTTTCAATTACTTTCCTAAAATTCGTCCCTCTTCTTTATAACTTTGCGCTACGAGGCACCATCATGAATATTTTATTTTCGGTCGAGTTGATCAAATCTTTTTAAGTAAGAGCAAATTGAAATTGCCGTGCATTTACAGTAATGTATCAATTTCCGTTACCCTTATGTCAGAAGAAGGTTCATAAAATTTTGTTATTGATTTTTTTTTTTTATGCGAAAAGTTGTCAAACGAGCAGACGGTTCACCTGTTAAGTGAATACCGCCGCCCGTGGACATTGCTACACTCAGGGTTACAGATGTGACAACCTTTTGAAAATTTCCGCTACCTCACTACCAGACGAAACGCTATTTGTCATACTTCCACTTTACGCCGGTCTTCTGTGAGGTCGTGGTACTTACCCGGATAAAATTTTGTTGCAACAGCCGAGGCTGCTGCGTGGCCCTACCACCATAAAGACCATATTGATTGACATCTTCATTGAAATATTTTGTTTCACCTTTTTATAAATTAATTTTTAATTCCCGACTCAATCCATCCTTTCACCTAATCCAGAATCTAACGAAGGCAGAACTTTAATTTTCGAGAAACATATATATATATATATATATATATATATATATATATATATATATATAAATATAAAACACCGAAAGCTGAATTTATTATCGCTGCCTCGTTAATATGATAGCTTAAGCAAAAAAAAAATTAAAAGAAGTGCATAAACTTTGTAGAAACGAAACGCGAATAATCATCAAAGTGTATGTTAATCCGAATAGGGAAACGGCAGCTTTTCGAGTAAAAGAACCCGTCTGAAGCTTTTAAGTCAAACGAAAAAATATTTTGTAGCTCGTGAACCTGATTTACATAAATATTCAAGGGTTACGAAGACTTTTTGAGTCTTCTCTGTATATACATGGATGTAAAATTCAAATTACGCCAAATTTTATGAACTATTCTAATCGTTACTTACGGCTTATTCCTCGTTTTTTTTTTCATTAGTCTTAATCGGCTAATATAACTAACATTTCCATTTGTATTTTTGTAATGGACTGAGAAAAACTTTAATAAAAACAGGCCCAGCATCGCAATGCTCAGGTGGTGGAAGCCGCTCTTCCACCCTGCCACTGCCGCATCGACTTGGCGTTGAAAGGCAACACAGTGCAAGATCTGATCGAGATGGTTACTACAGGTGTGTTCAGTTTTGATCTTTTACATTCATCTTTTTTCTTTTACATCATCATACTTACAACTGTCAATCTACCACCACCATCTTAACACAATAACCTATGTTTACCATACTTTTCACATATATAATAATTAAACTGTGTATTATAATTAATGCACAAATAATGCCCCTGATCCCTAATAAGAAGTTAAAATATTTACACTACAATACAACCCCAACTATCTACAATTTTCATAGCATTACAAAATATGAAAAGAATTAAACTAAGACTAATTAAAATATTGCCAAGGGCAGATAATACATTTTTAAATTCAACTTCAAATCACTAGTACCTACAGCTTAATTTGTCAGCTCTGTCTCCGACTTTATTTATAAATGTAGATATTCTGTCTTAAATATAAGGTACATCGACAAATTTTAAGATATCTAAAGAAAAGAGTACACATGACACTCAAAAACACTTTGCATTAGTTAAAAAATTATGATTGTGTAAAAAGGTAAAGTGAAGTAATACCCAATATAATTATGTCCCCCTGCTAGAGAAAGGCCTCCTCCAGGATATTACTCCATAGTCCACCACGTGACCCTACTGCGGGTCTTCACATATCACAGACATATCTCACGACGTTTTCCTTCGCTGCTGAGCACGTCAGCACTTAAAACTGCAAGTTACAATTTTATCAGTGCTGGAATTGAACTCAGTTTACTCGAGTATATTGAATTAAAAGAGAGGACCTGGACATTGAGTTGTCACGGATTGAGTCTATAGTACAAATATCTGTTTACTATATTAGTAATGATGACATTATTTTCCATAAGTACAGTCGTAACTGCCTTTTTCGATGAAAGAAATTCATTATGACTTTATCTTGTCACTTAATTTTGTCCACACAAAATGCTTTTATTATAAAAGTTGATTTTTTCCGGGCAAAGGATTTTTAATACTATTATCTATTTAATTATATTAAAACAATAGATACTGTATAATTATCCAAACATAAAAAAACACCCAATGGCCTTCTAAAAAGATAACTACATAAATTTTCAATCTTAAATCCGTTTTCATTTCCTCTTCTCTGTAAAAACGAAGTATTGCCTTTCAAGTTGTTTATTCTTTATTTAGATCGGGAAAATGTGCGAGCGGTATTGTTTTCGTCTTTCTGTAAAATCTGAAGCTCCGCATTGTTTTTGTGTATCCTCCTTCCATTATTTATTGATTGAGGTGATGTTTTGTCTTTGTCATTGTAGCGACCGTAACGAGCTCATGCGGGAACGCGAGAGGGAAAGGGAACGAGGATACCTGAGTGATCACAATACAAGGTTTGATTACGAATCATTCTTAATTAAAAACGAAATATTCGCAACAATGGGGAGGAAACGTAACAAAGGCCTAATTAACATGTTCACAAAACACTCGGTAATTTATGCGCCTTTTCGACGTTCATTATGTTTTAAAATATGATATTACTTTTTCTGTGGCCTGGAAACTTTGTCAGTGGCTCGCGCCAAGGTGAAAATTATTAAAACCTTATCCTGAAAGTAATATTTAGAGGGCTTCATGTTCCAAAGATAAGCGTTGTGTCTGAGATTTTTTTATGTACGTTACGTAAATTGGAAGTATGTATGGACATATTTAAAGGTAATATTGTAACTAATTAAAGTGAAATAAGTTTCTTACTTGTACATAGCAAGTGATAACGTAATTAGGTACATTTTGCTCATCTCAAACCTGACATTTCTTTTTATTATTTTTACCCCATTAGGTTTTAATTATGTGAATGTTTTCCAAACAGTCACATAATTAAAACCTAACCTGATAAACTAAACCTGATGGGGCTTGATTGAACGGGGGTAGGGCCACGCAGCAGCCTCTGTTGCACGAATGGGCAGGCCCGTCCGGGTTAGTACCACGACCTCACAGAAGACCAGCGTAAAGTGGAAGTATGAAAATACTTTCGCGTTTCGTCTGGTGTGTGAGGTAGCCGGAGCCCAATTTTCAAAAGGTTGTCAACGCCTCTCTAACCCTCGGGTGTAACAGATGTCCATGGGCGGCGGTAGTCACTTACCATCAGGTTAACCGTCTGCTCGTTTGGCAACTTTTCACATAAAAAAAAACAAACGTTTTTCTTAAGTTAAGTGATTACCGCCACATATGAACATCTACAAGGTTTTATGGAAAGTGGATGTATAATCATAAGTATATAATTTTTATACTATACACAAATTCTATTTTTTTATAATTATGCTTTATTTATTTATTTAAAAAAGTTTATCAACAATGTACTAAACACTACATGTACTTTTTACAAATGTTTGGGCCCCGGTCAGATTACTACAATAAATGTAGTACGCCAAAAAATAGATATAAATTATTGAAACACGAAATGCTAACTAAAAAGTTTGGTATTAACGCTAAAAATTTACGCTAAAATAAACATCCAAATAACTTTAAAATAATGAGGAAGAGTAAAATAAAAAATATTTGACAATTATAATAACAAGAATATTAAATAAAAAAATATTTGCAGGGATCGCCATCGAGATCGCGATCAAGGATATTTAAGCGATCATCAGTCAAGGTAAGTTTATTTAGAACTAATAAGAAATTGTTTCATTATAAGCTTTGTTGTAATAACACAAACCAAAATAGTTCAAACGTCGACATTTCATAAATTTTGTTTGTCATCATTTTCAAAATACCCATAAAATAACCATAACCAGATTTGATACAATTATAGTTAAGAATAAAAGTTTTAACTCTTATATTTGTTATTATTTTGTAACTTTTGTTACTTTCAATATATGTACAATAAAAACTATTCGTAAAACGTTTATTAATTATTTTGAATTGATGGCATTCTTCAATACTTACGTCCTATGAATATCATGACTTTGTATCATTATCGCGGGTTTTGAGAGTGGCTTTGAGTTCTTTAAACAATTGTTTCTGACATAGCTTAGAAGAATAGCAAGCTGAATTGGTGATGAGCTGGCCATGTAACACGAAGAACCGATAACCGATGGGGATGAAAGGTTTCTGAGTGGCGGCATCTTACCGTCGCAGTGTAGGACGACTCTACTCGTTGGAGTGACGGCCTGTGCAAATGTGAGGGATGTCGATGGATGCATGACCTCGTTAGGTACTCTAGTAATGCTGAACGAAGAGAAAGCCGAATGCCTGACAGACAGTCTAGAGTCTCAATGCTCTCCTAGTTTGCTTCCGATCAACCCCGAACACCTCCGTAAGGTGAATGAAGAGGTTGAAAGGAAAGCTTTAGAGCTATTTTGCGATCCCGTTCCCCCGGTCACGTGCTCCGAGACCAGCTAGTAGAAACCATTAACAAATTACGGCCACGCAAAGCGCCGGTAAGGTGACCAAACTCCTCCCCACTAGCATCCTTCAGATACCAGTAATAATGTACAACTCGGCTATGACCAAATGCTTCTTCCCGTCCGAATCGAAAGAAGCAGACGTCATAGGCTTCCTCAAACCCTCGAAACCCGCCACTCTCCCATCTTCATATTGGGAAGATCTTTGAAAGACTAATATAAGCCCGCTTAAGATTCTTTATGGATTCAAAAGGGCGCTCCATCCCGGAACAGTTTGGATTCAGAGCAAAACATTCATTTACCCACCAAGTGGACCGCATCACGGAGCACGTATTAGTCAAACGCCAACGCGGCTACGACACCGGAGCGCTCTTCCTCGACGTCGCAAAGACGTTCGACGAATCCTGACACGACGGGCTCATGTACAAGTTATAATAATAAATAATATGAGACTTCCTAAGTGATCGGACCTTTCGCTATCGCGTTGAAGGGGTGTGCTCGTTAACGCATCCCGTTCGGTCCCCGTCGGTGTTGAGTCCAGTCCTGTTTACTCTGTACACTAACGACATGCCGAGCTACAAAGGTGTAGAGCTTGCCCTCTTTGCCCTCGTTGCTGGATTTTCTCCCGCCACTTTTTCTCCCAGCGCCAACGCTTTCCGAAGTACTAGTAATGTTAAATCTAGAAATTCCCCCAGTCAGTTAATAGCTACCGATCGAGCCGAGGTCCGGCCCTCTCGGGCACCCATGAATCGGAATGCTAAACGCGTATTTCGTAATGAGATTTTGCGCGATGCCACGAATGCTATAATAGTTTGCGAAGAAGGGTTGTCCAGGGGTGTTTCTTTCCGGTTCTCTTTTGGTCAGGACTAGTTTAGTGAAACTTTTAGTTTCGTGGTGGTTTTAGTTTAGTTTAGTGGTAGTTTTTTGGTGTTCAATAGGAGCTCAAAATGAGCCTCTATTGAATAAATGAATTTTGACTTTTACATTGAAGAAAAACTCTAATAAGAAACAAAACACTATATCTAAGATATATATGCATATGTGTTTAATATAATACTTTCGGTCCCGACGCATAAAAAACTAATAATTTTACATACATAATAAATAATTTTAATACATAAATATTCTTGAAGGCTAAGTTCGTACAATTAAGAAGATAAATTTAAAATTAAATACGTAATTCTTAGAGGTAACTTATACAAAGAAAACAAAAAGACATGACGTAAACCAAAACAAGACCAAAAAAAAGGAAGAAGAAACCAATTTGTACTCGTATACATAAATATGGGGCTGCATAATTGACATATAATTAAGCGGTTGAAGTGTTAAACTGTTTATTTTATTTAAAATATTGCATTATGAATCAGGACAACTTAGGCATATCGCTAGATTTTTAATGTAATTATGAATGTCCGCATTTTCAACCGACTTCAAAAAGAAGGAGGTTTCCAATTCGTTTGTACTTTTTTAATGTATGTTACTTCGGAATTGAGTCATTTATGAAACGATTTGGAAACTTTTTTGTTGGTAAGGAAACATGTTCACGTGTGATTTTTATTTCACTGGCATTGGTCATTGATTTTCGAAAATATACATGGGAACTCATCAAAATTCAAAGTTAAAGTCAAAATATCTTTATTAGGCTTAACTTAATAGCCTTATTGAACGTAAAAAAAACGACTACTTCACTTATACAATAATACTTAGAAATATTATGAATAATATACTTAGAAATAAAATAAATATTTAATACTTAGAAACAGAACTAGATTGCTGTTGAGACATTTCGAAAACCGTACAATTTCCTAGTGTAGTAGTGGGCACCAGAACCTATTTAACTTAATACAGAAATTTTGCCTCGGTTACTAGGAAATATTTATGTAAATATGAGATATTTGAAAATAGTTTTGTTTTTTGTTAGTATATATGTAATGAGATAACAATAATATTCATATGAGTCTCAGCTGAAACTAAAATCATAAATGGATTAAATTATAAAAATACTGTGTTTATTTCAACGTAAAAACGTATGCAGAAATATCACATTCGAAATGCGTACGGGCAAAAATGCCTTGATGTCCGTACAGTAACAGTAATCCTTATATCCTTTGTAAATAAAGCATTTGACCCATGACCGACCCAGGGTCCACAAAACGTTTTTGTTAACTTAACGCAAAGAGACTGTGTCCCACGATTTTATTCGGCTCTTCGTAATGTTCAGAAACTATTAACTTATTGGTTTCATTTTTTTTATAAAACAAACTTTTATATACTTACTATTTACTTTCAAATAATTCATATTCTCATTTTGGTATTGTTAACTGCTAGTATATTGTGATGTCTCTTACCTAACTATCACTGAAAAAATAGAATTTGGTTATCTTTAGAAATATTTTTGTATGTATGATATATTGGTTATTAAAACCCCTTTACGAGTTTTGCGATTTAAACCGCTCGCAGGAAGACGATGATATTTCTGTTGTTTTAATTTTTATACAGCTAAGGACTATTTATGATTTTGTTTTGTTATATTTGGCGTAATATACGTACATGTTAGAGTAAAATATTCTGGTATAGTAACCACTTTCCATTAGGCCGTTTGTGCCGAGCCAAGTATGAACTAAATAAAAAGTTTTAAAACGGCAGTATGGCATTCAGTCTGACCTAATTTTATCTGCTCGTACGTACGCGGCTCGTTACATTTCTAACGATGGAATTACGAATGGAATCGCAACTCGAGCAATATGTACAGCTAGAAACAAATAGTGGGCTGACTTTTATACTTAGTATTGTTACCACATTTGCGGGAAGGAAGCTTCAGGAAAGCATTTAAATGTGGGCCCTACATTCTACAGTAACCGGCAACAAAGCGAGCGGTTTGAAGCGACGGCAGATTTAGCATTTAATTAGATGTCTCGGGAAAATCGCTCCGAAAAGCTATTTAATCCATTGGAATGAGATGGCTCTGTGTCATTTGAAATTCTATTACTGTTACAGAGTACGCAGCGCCGATACAACACACCGTTTTATCTGAAAGCGGGTTATCTTCTCCTGTTTAATAAAACGTTAACTTTAATGTTATATTATACAAATCATTTATGAAAATAATTTTCCTGATAATTTTCGAAAAGTTATTAATTCTTCGTCGTACAAAACTTTCCCAAAATATATTTTCAAGCCGCTTTATATACTAATTCTTAAGAACTCAACCCTTTTATCAAGTTATATAATATATAACAGAATATCTGTAAGTAATAAAAGTGCGTATAGGTTTAATAAGTGATATCTTCTTGATAGCATAGTCAGTATGCAATTTTCAAATCATGTTAAAGAAAGATGTAAAATGTTGTCTAGAATATCCGTAAGGAATTTATGTTTTAAAAAGAACATTTATAAAACAAAAGGTACATAATCTCTGCACAAAATAATAATAAATCACGTTTACGCTTTGACGACCGATCACCGGTTCCCCAGAGCGTAGCTCCGCACGAGTTTTTATAGGCAACTTCAATAATTTAACTCCCATACTATTAACCGTCTATACTCCTACCATACTATTGATCGTCTATACTCCTATACTGTTAAACTTCTAAAACTCCTATACTAATAGTAGTCTATACTCCTATACGAATAATCTTCTATAATTGTTTATTAAAAAATGTATATGACAATCGACAGTTCTGTCTTTAATGAAATGTAATAAATTCGTATAAATCGAGGATCCTTAAATTTTTACAAGATTTAATGTATCTAAAATTACATAATCCTTAAGGCAATATTAATTTTAAATGAACACCGTTATCGATTTCTTACTATCGAGTAAATAATTATGGCTCATTAAAGGAAAATCAGGCCACATAATTAAACGGTTTAATTACCGTATATTTTTGTATGATGAAAGCTGATATATGGGATATATAATTTACATATAAGCGATTATATTCTTGGCACTTCTTTTTTAAGGGAAATTGTATTTTTTAATGATAACGGTACTAATATTTAAGAAAATTTCGTGTTTATTTAATGTTTTAAAGTAATTATTGGTTATTTGCTACATTAAATTAAAACAACCTTTACATTTGAGACTATTATAACTATTAAATCCCAATTAAAGGAATAATATACATGACTATTTGAATAAAGATTCTTACTCATCACAATATAATAACAGGTAATAAATAATACTTATTTAATTGTATTTTGCTCGTAACAAAAGAGGACTGTTGTCTTATCGATCTGATCAACATCCAGAAGTCATGTCATTTTATGTTTCATCTTTATTAAACATCATTGGGTTCGGTCCCCACCTTCTGCTGTAAAACAAATTGAAGGATTTAATTGTCTAAATGGATCATGGACTTTGTCTCAGCTTCGTGAGTGCGTCGCGCTGCGCCTCGTGTATTGGTGAGTCGGCTCGCTCGGCTTGGTACCGCCATTCGGATGGTTGGCGTGGTGCCCCGCCTCCTGGGCCCCGCCGCTCGCCCTGGGACTCCCTGCCCAGCTTGCGCCACGAGGGCAGCCTCAATGACTCCGGGTACCGGAGCAACCGAGCCGACAGCTTCGAGCAGCGGTATGCCATTTCTGCCCAATGTTGTACGTTATTTGTTTTATATGCAAAGTTGTCAAGCGAGCTATCTACAGAAACCTGAAGGCGTTGAAGATGCGTTGACAATGTTTAAGAATGAGGGCGCCCGTTACCTTACTCACCGGACGAATTGGAATAATATAATACTTCCACATCACGCCGATCGTCTGTGAGGACGTGGTACTTCCCCGGATGACCCTACCCATTCGAACAACAGCAAAAGCTGTTACTTGACCATACCAAATTAGAATTATCAGATGATGATTAATTCACGCAGTTCTTGAGCCATTGTCCCACACGAGAGAAGTATTTATTTGACACAAATATCTTTCCGGTTATGGATGTTTATCCCTAAGGAGGATTGACACCAGGAATATACATACTGCACATAGTGGAATAAGGGCAGAAAAAAGATTCTACATGTGACTCGTTACGACACTGTCACTTATCTGCGTTTTCGTTGTTCTATGAAGTTTTATATAGTCTTGGCATTGAAAACAAATCATCCATGAAAAATTCAAAGCCATTATTAATGATAACATTTTATAATTGAAATACTCAACAATTGAACAAAATCTGTCCCATTGCTTTTGCCCCATTTAGCATTGTACATGACCGATGAAAGAGAATGATTGCACCTAACGTAACTAAAACCCTGGTTATCCTACCGAAAGATGTAAATTTCTACTCTTATTTTGATGCAAATGAAGCTTAAATGCTAATTCTGTCTAGGCGAAACTTCGTTAGATTTTACATTGAACGGTGTTTTAAAAGTTTACCGTACTTAATAAAATGTATTCATGAAACTTTGCATTCGAAATCCTCTCGTAAAATTACTTGCGAAATTCATACAAAGCGAAAACAAACTACGTTGAGGATCCATTAGTACGGTACTAGCGGTACTTTCGTTCGGATGAAATAATTAAGAATGAACCGAGTGCGGATTACAAGCAAAAACTTATATCTGATATATAAGATATCGAGTGTTAAATATAATATTAGTGTTAAATAAAATACAATATTAAAGATAAAAAAGTACATTCTATTTGATAAATCTGCTATATTTTGAAATGAAAACTTCTTTTAGCGCGGTACGCATATTTTTAGATGAGATAAATCTCTGGACTAGCGACACCGTCTCGAGACGCAGCTACGAGTATAGTGTGTGCTTAATTGAATTTTTGAATAGAGAATTTGATTTTACTATGTATAATCAACGTATAATATTAGACAACGCACAACAAGATATAAAAGTACAATTTATGCGGTATTCCCGAGATGTTTAAATAACTTCGAATCAAATTGTTTATTCATATTCTGTGGGCACTCCCGGAGTCAAGACACATCAAGTATAGAAACATATAGGATGAATAATTTAAATAATATCCCTTAAATAGTTTTACGAATTTATTGGTGTTTTAATGACCAAATTTTTTTTCAAATAACGTTTACCTAAACCTTTAACGTAATAACGTAAACCTTTGCGGTTTTAGCCATGAATAGACTGAAATGAGTTAAATATCTTACGTATCCTTAATGTTGGACGTGTGCTCTTTTTTAGCGTGATATTAAAAATTGAAAGCGTTTTTTCAACTTTGTTCTCAATTATGTTTTCATTTCGATTTTTATGCAATAACTAGCAACCGAGCCGTTTAGCTCAGTGGCTAGTGCGTCAGGCCGCGAATGCCGAAGACGTGGGTTCGATTCCCACAGCGGCGACAATCTTTTCGCACTTTTTCTACATATTTTAATAGTTTTTACATACTAAAATTATTACTTTGTTTGAATTTAATGGTAATAAAATAAGTACAACTAACGCCCACTACCTTTTAGTTCGAAAAGCTATCGTGGATTCGGCGACCTGAAATTCAAACGCTATTTTAATACATTACTGAGTTCGTCATGTAGAAGACAGCTTCATGTAAATCACTTCAGACATTATAGATTCAAATTTCTTGCCCCGTAATTCATTAGCGTGTAGGTATACACATACCTATATCTAGTATTTTTAATTAAGTTTCTTCTAAGGAAATCGAATGAATGTTTCCTAAAGGACAGTACCCAAAATAACATCTAATTTATTGAAGTTTATTTAGACATAATAAAATGATTTAAATTAGACTTCCTAGATATTTTAGTTATATTTATCAATGCCCTGTTTAACTTATAATATCACAAAAACTTTGCCTAAATTAAAGTGTTTATGATCTTTTTATTAACATTTACGAGGTATTAACATCAATGGCGAATACATCACCCACCTTCGATTTGCCGACGATATAGTCATCATGGCAGAATCGCTGGAGGACCTGGGTGCTATGCTCAATGACCTCAACAGTGTCTCCCAACGGGTGGGCCTTAAGATGAACATGGACAAGACGAAGATCATGTCTAATGTCCATGTCACGCCTATACCGGTTGTCGTTGGGAGCACTGAGCTCGAAGTTGTTGACGAGTACGTTTACCTAGGACAGTTAGTCCGGCTAGGTAAGTCCAACTTCGACGCAGAGGTCAATCGGCGAATCCAACTCGGATGGGCAGCGTTCGGGAAACTTCGGCAAATCTTCTCGTCGAATATACCTCAATGTTTGAAGACTAAAGTCTTCAATCAATGTGTGTTGCCAGTGATGACCTACGGAACCGAGACGTGGTCCTTCACTGCTGGCCGTATGAGGAAGCTCAAAGTCGCTCAGCGAGCTATGGAGCGGGCTATGCTCGGTATTTCTCTGCGTGATAGAGTTCGTAACGAAGACATCCGCAGTAGAACCATGGTAACCGACATAGCTCAGAGGATTAGCAAGCTGAAGTGGCGATGGGCCGGCCATATAGCTCGTAGAACCGATAACCGTTGGGGAAGAAAGGTTCTCGAGTGGCAGCCTCGTACTGGCCATCGCAGTGTAGGACGACCCCCCACTAGATGGAGTGACGACCTGTGCAAATGTGCGGGAAGTCGATGGATGCAGGTGGCTCAGGATCCTACTTCCTGGCAGTCTGTGGGGGAGGCCTATGTTCAGCAGTGGACTCAAACAGGCTGAAATGATGATGATGATGATGATCTTTTTTGAGTGATTTTGAAAGTAATTATTCATTTTATTACATTCATACTTGTATATAACTTATTTTCTTTTGTTCTCTAAAGTTTTCTTGTTTTATTAAATTGCTTAAGAATGATAGATCGTTACATGTGCATAATTTTTCCACAATTATACTTTACATCAATTTATTAATTAATTTTCTTTTAAACACGTAAATATGTTTAAAAATAATAACAGAAACTGGAACTAGAACATAGTAGAATGATACGACAGTTAAATCTCATTATGCGAATGAATTTTTCAACTCTGATTCCAGTTTCGAAATAATGGCTATAATTTACTTTTTGTAGTAGTAAGCAACCCGTTTATCGTTAAACACAAGCCACGGGAAAGTTTTCGACTCATTATTTGTCGGCATTCAGGCGGAAGTCATTTTAAACGTTTACAAACATTTTATATGCGTAAAAAAGCTTGTAGCGATTAATACAGTTTGGTATAATGAACCTTTCAAACTTAACATATTGATTCCGAAAGCTGTAAAATTATGCATGTGCAACGTCAAAACATATTTGAATATATTAAGCATTGTGAGACTTGTATGTACATTAGAGTGACGCGTCGAATAAACGAAGTCAAATGACCTAAAGAAAATTACAACCGAAAACGTGTTTTCTGATATAATTTGGCAACATCTCTCGCTACAACAATGAATCGTTGAATGTTGTTTGTAAGTTGCTGTATGTTTTAAAGTATGCACACTAGATGGCGCCCCGCATTGTTAAAAATGCAATAGATATACTTCAAAGCTCAAACCAGAAGACGCAGTTTCGAATTCCGCAACGGCGAAAACACAATAATTTACAATTTAAAGAAAACGTGTGTAAACTTGCACATTTATTTATTAACTAAAAATATGAGGTTTTCTTCGCGAAATTTGGAATATTCAATAGAAATTTATTACAGGGGTGTGTTCGATCGCCAAGATAGCGTCCGTTCGGAGTACACCAGTGACAGGGAGTCTACTCGTTATGGCATCGTACAACAAGCTTCCATTGACAGCACCGACTCGAGAATCTGCTACTTAACATCTAGTGAGGTAAGTTTATTGCGGATAGATTAACACTCCCTCTTTATGAATATGCTAGTTCGACGTTGGGTACCACAGGCTAACAAGGAAGAAAAGAACCCTGTCCCAAAGACAGGTGGGAAGTAATATTTTACCCGATTACATTGATGCTGTGAGAGCTTAGTGTCCGGGCAGTCGCTTTTAATTCAATATACTCCAGCAACTTGATATCAAATCCAGTGCTTGCACTATTTAAATGTTCAATTGAAACTTAAGTTCTATTATCTATTCACCTTAATGACGGTAAAGGAAAACATCGCGAGGAAATATATATACTTTAAAATAAAAAAAAAATCCTCTGTACGGCCTTTTTTTTTAATGTGAAAAATTGCCAAACGAGTAGACGGTTCACCTGATGTTAAGTGAATACCGCCGCCTATGGACATCTGCTATACCCGAGGGTTCCAGATGCGTCGACAACCTTTTGAAAATTGGGCACCGGCCACCTCACTCACCAGACGAAACGCGAAAGTATTATACTTCCACTTTACGCCGGTCTTCTGTGAGGTCGTGGTACTTACCCGGACGAACCTGCCCATTCGTGCAACATCCGAGGTTGCTGCGTGGCCCTACCACCGTAACTAGACCTTTGCTCAGCAGTTGAACATTTATGGCCTGTTACTTTTACTTTACTTTAAACGTTTTCGTTTCATTTAGTATCTGAATCCTCTGAAAGCCCATTCTCACAGCATTTGACAACGCGTCTACATTATGTACATACAAACTCAATATACCAAAGTTGTGAAAGTCCATGTGCGGTGATACTCACTTATCACGACTTTAGGCGCTAGTTCGATTGGTGCCCCTTTGAAAATAAAACAATTACTTTAAATAAACTAAAATAGATGTTTATTCGATTCAGTTTTTTTCTCTACAATTTAAGTGTCGACTTCCTCTATAAGGTACAGACAGAAGCACCTGTTTCAGAGGAAGCCGCTCTTCTTTAACAAAAATGTTATAACTAAACAAAAAGTTCTTTTTAAAAAAAAAAAAAAAAAAAAAAAAAAGAAAACAAACACCTTATTTAATTTATACAATTTAACATTAAACAAAACACAGTGTGCGTCCGTGTGCGCGCTGTATCTGTGTGTGTTTTTGCATGAGTGTGTGTGAGTATATGTGTGCGAGAGAGAAAAAGGGTAGCGTACACAAAATAGCTAAAACAAACAATTGTTCAAGTCAATTCATTTGATACGCCCTTACAGATTGTCGCCCACGGCTAGCCGTTTATTTCACGCACACATTGCACAGATAAAATTATATCCTCATAAATACATATTTTTTTCAGTTTCACTTAAATATTTAAAAACACAAGGATACAGTAACAAAGGAAGGCACAGTTATATTTTAAAACGAGATGCTTTGGAACGTAAGTTATTATTACAACGTGAAAATCCAACTCCGATTTCAATTTAAAACGTTTATCTATTAGAGGTGCTTTACACAAATGCAGGATTATGGCACAAACTTTATTGCAAATGTTATATGTATGTAAAATGCCAGCAAAAAACTGCAATGAAGAGCCATGCAGTTCCATTTGCGCAAAAGCATCGATTTTGCGCAAATGCGCAGGCTCGTCTAGGGTTCCATGGCCACACATCATATTACCGGCGAAGTGTAATTATTCTAGTTTGCTATTCAGTTGGTTAATCCCAGTCTCTTAAAAATATCCTCACATTTAGAACACCATACGCATTGTTCATGTCCATACGAAATAGTAACCATTCATCATCAGGGTGTCACATTAAGAACTGTTAATTCGTTTTATATTACATATAACTATCATGTCCCTTGACATCGTAATTCTTACATCTATGACTGACAAATAATAATTTATAATTCATTAATTGAATAAGAATTGACATGCATTAACTTCAATTTTCTATAATTGAGTCATCATATTAAAAAAAACAAATTTGATTAACATTGATAAACTCGAAACCTTACTAAAATTACTTTTTAATTCGTTTATTTATTTTATTCGTTCTGTTTGGATTACGAGTTCAGTGTGGTGTAGCGAAGCATAAATATCAGTAGACACATTAATTGACGTGTTACTCATCGTTGTCACATGGCATTAACCTCTAACATCGACTTATTAACTCTGATCTTATGACATCTACGAGTTGTTGCCATCTTATATATTAACACGAAGGGCACGTTTTCGGTATTTGCGTAATAATAAAGAATTATTCGCAAAATAAAGTCGATAAAGTTATTGTTTTAACGCATTTTATTAATTAAGTTTTCTGTCTTAAATGAGTATTCGTTCAACTACGATAAACTAATCCCGTTACATTTAATTGCATTTGTAATCAACTCAGTTGTAGAACTATCGTAGCTGTTACGTTTACTATTAAACTTTCACAATAATCTATGGTTTAAGTGATGAAAAAGGTATTTACTCGTATATCCCAATATCAATTAGTGATTATCTTTTAACTTTCGTGGTTTCTTGTTTTTATCGTTAACACATTCTACGTATTATTTATTAAGGCTTTATCTCTGTTTATTTCTACTATGTACTGGAAGTAAAATAAAAAAATTGTCTCTGTATCGCAGTTACTATGTTGTTGGCTATGACGTCGAGGGTCATGAGTTCGATTCCCACACGGTAAAATTATTTGTCCGACCCAAATTTAATTGTTCGTCGGTTGTATAAAACCTAGACAATAGTAGAAAAACATGATTCAAATTTAGCTGACCTCACAAAGTTGAGATGAGAGCAGGAGGAAAAAGATTAAACTAAAAACTAAAGTAAAATAGATTTTCGTCGGTGTGGCAATTAGCGGAATGCCGGGAATCGAACCCGACGTGGGTTCGATTCCCAGGGGCGACAAGCTTTTCGTACTTTTTCTCTTAAATGCAGAGATTAGCACTATAAAAATTAAAATTAGTAAAATAGAATAAAGAATGAGTCAAAAATTGTTAGAATCAGTACTATGATGATGCAAACTAGCAAAGTAGTGTAAAAATAACAAACCTGTTTAAAACAATATGAATTGTTTTTGATATTAAAACTTTCATTTCACGCAATTAATTAATGTTTTACCTCACCGACTTACTAACCCAATTCCCGTGTCCACAGAGATAACAGTAACATGGGCTATATAATGAAAGTTTAATTATTTACCAATTTACATTGTTCGATTTATACTATGGTTTCCTAAGATAATACTTTGTGTTGATTTTGGCATTTCACCACTTTGGCACTTCAAGGAAATGTTTTTTAAAAGTTTAAAGATATAGCCGAATTTCAAAAGTGAAACTAAAATGAACTAGAACGTTGATTAATTTAATTAATGCTATCACAAGTTCAGAACTATTGAAAAACAAATGTCAATTTCTAAAATGATTATTAATTTTATTCACTGAACACGTTCTAAAATGATTAATTAATTACACTGTCTAATATTTATCCTAAATCGATAAGGATTATTCCCCGTTTATTTCATTTACCTACAAAAAGTTACATTTTAAGAAGATATCGATTAAAAACATTCGCCATAACAATAAAGCGTCAATACTAAATTCAAATATCGTGCAAATGTGTTTCCTAAACCCTGTCCGAAGCGGGTTCGTTAGTGCTCCGTACTCAATTTACATCCATGAAGGTACGAGTAGCGAGCGGTACTACAAATGCTTTGGACTTCGGATCGGAGCGCACCGATCTAATCGCAGACCTAATTGGCGCTCGAAACTGCTCTCGATAATACCTGACTTATCAGAGTCATCCGCTCAACTGGGATGAAATTGCTTTACACCCTCCGTAAGTCTCTCCATTGCATTTAAACGACACAATGACGCCTAATCGAGTTTTAATTTTTATGTGATTTACTTATACCATACAGTAAAATTGTTTTGTCCTTAGACATGGACAAAGAATGGACAATTTTAAGGATTAAGAAAAAAAATATTTTAATCAAATATTATTTCATTTCATTTATGAGTACAATTTGGGCATACATACGCTCTATGGATATAAATATAATATCGTATTGTTTCACCAACGAAATAAATATTTTAAAAGGGGTAAATCAAAGCCAGATTACTATTTTTTTATGGAAAAAAGGAGCAAACGAGCAGGAGGCTCACCTGATGGTAAGTCATCACCGTCGCCCATGGACACCTGCAACACCAGAGGGCTTACAAATGCGTTGGGGGCCTTTTAGGAACGAGTATGCTCTTCTTGAAGGTGGTAACGATTCGGCGGCAGCTGATTTGATTTGATTGAGGGTTGTGCGAGACTGCAAATGCCTTTTAAATCGCGCTGTTCAATCGCGACATCAAGGTGGTGTGGATGAAATTTTAATTTTTTTCTGTTGTTTAGTAGTCTTAATAAAAAGATCACTAATTTTATCATAAATAATTTATGTTACATTAAAAAAAATCTTACTTATTCCTAAACCTATTTCTTTTATTAGCATCGTTGGCAACAAATAACTACGCCGCACATTGGCTGTTTGCCAATTTAGTAATTATCTTTATTAAAATTTCGTTAGTCTCTTTTGAGTATTCGAAAACCTTATATAAAAAAAGTAAAAAGTAAGTAGCTTATACATGTCCCACTACTGAGCAAAGGCCTCCTCTGTACAGAGGGTATTAGGGCATAGTCCACCACGCGGCCCCACGGCGGGCCGCGTGATATCTTCGAAATATATTTTTGTTATTATTATTTCGAAAATATGAAGGTATCCTCACGATGTGTTCCTTCAACGCTGAGCACGTGATAATTCAGCACTTAAAATTAACAATTTCATTGGTGCCGGCACCGGGGATCGCACTCGGGTTGCTCGAGTTTATTGAATTAAAGGCGAGCGCCCCGAAACTGAGCTATCACGACTAACCTTATATATTTAGCGTTTATTAGCCTGGCATTACAATACCGAACTAAAGACAATACTCCCAACTCGGTTACTCGCAAGCACTAAGGTATCTAGGGAAGCACACGTACGTATAGAGAATACGGGTAAAATGAGAGCCCTCGTAAAGATCTGTGAAGTGGCTCTCAGCGTAGTTTGAGAGATGGACGAACTTAGAGAGAACAAAGATTGGAACGCAAGCAACAAAAAACTCAATATCAA